GAAGCTGAGGCGGGAGAATTACTGTAAGTTAGAGACAAGCCAGGGTTACATAGTGAGTTCAAGTTCAGCCTGAATTACAAATTGAGACCTTGGCTCAAAAAACAAAAATAGATAAACAAAAAAAAAAAATAAGTAAAGCAGTAATTAAAAACCTACCAACTAAGGAAAGCGCAGGTCCAGATAGGTTTACTGCTAAATTTTACAAAAACTTCAGGGAAGATCTAATACTAATGTTTCCCAAGTACTTTAACAAAACTGAAAGGGAAAGAGTACTCCCCAAATCGTGCCCGAAGCCAGCATTATTCTGATTCAAAAAATAGAAAAAGATCCAACCAAAAAAGAATTGTAAAAGAATTGCACTTGGGAGGGCCAAGACAGCAGTCTCTTTAAAGAATATAGATTGAAAAATCCTCAAGAAGATACTGGCAAATAAGATGCAACAAGCGATCAAAAGGATCATATACCGTGACAAAATTGGCTTTGTCGCTCTACCTACACAAATCAATAGATGAAATATAGCATATAAGCAAAAGCAAGGCCAGGAATCACGCAATCAAGTTCAAGGCCAATCTGGAATACGTAGAGAAACCTTGTCTCAAAAAACAAAACGAAACATGCCAGGTGTGGCTGTGCACACGCGTAATGCCAGCACTTGGGAGGGCCAAGACAGCAGGATTGCTGTGAGTTCGAGGCCATCCTGGGCTACGTGAGCAAGTCCAGGGCCAGCCTGCACTCCACAGCAAAACCCTGTCGCAAGAAAACAAAAACATGGGCTGGAGATATAGCTTAGTGGCAGAATGCTTGCCTACCACGCACAAGGCCTTGAGTTCAATCCCCAGTACAATAATAATAATAAAAAAAAGACAAAACTTGGTCATGTCAATAGATGCACTAAAATGTTTTGACAAAATCCAACATCATTTCATGATAAAAATACACTGAAGAAAATATTTATAGAAGGAATTTACATCAATCTGATAGAAACCATTTTTGGCAAATCTACTACCAACCTCATGTTTATTTTATTTTTTTTTTTAATTTTTCTTTTATTTTTATTATTTGTGTGTGTGTGTGTGTGTGTGTGTGTGTGTGTGTGTCGGGGCTGGCTGGCATGTGGTGCTGGGGGATTGAACCACGGTCACTGTGCTTTGCTAAGCTTGTTCTAAGTAGGTGCTTTAGACCACTGAGCCATCTCACCAGCCCACCAACCACATGTTAATTGAGGAAAAGCTGAAGCTTTCCTCTAAAGTCAGGAGCAAAACAAGGATGCCCAATCTCACCACTCCTATTTGACACAGTCCCCAAAACATTAGCAAGAGCAATCAGAAGAGAAAAACATAAAAGGGATATGTCTAGGAGAGGAAGAGGTGACACTATTTATCTGCAGACAATGTGATCCTTTACACAGAAGACCCTCCCAAAATCTACCAGTTCTTTTAAAGTTCATAACCAAACTCAGCCATGTGTGGTGGCACATGCCTACAGTGCCGCACACGGAAGCCTGAGGCAAGAGGATGGCTGTGAGTTTGAGGCCTCCCTCACTACATAGTGCGTTCCTGGCCAACCTGAACTACAAGGTGAGACCCTGTCTCAAAAAAGCAAATTCAAGGGCCAGCCAAATAGCTCAGTGGAGTAAAGAGCCTGCTTAGGCAGATGCAGAGGCCTGGGGTTCGATTCCCAGTGTGCCCGGCCAGTCCCGCACCCCAGGGCACACTGAGATGGCAATTGAGACTGGGCGTGGTTGCCGTGCCTGTAATCTCAGTGCTTGGGAGGCTGAAAACAGGAGGATCACTATGGGCCCAATCTGTGTAGTGAGACCCTGTAGACCCCGTCCTAAGATACAAAAAAAAAAAAAAAAAAAAGCAAATTCAGTGATGTTGTCAAATACAAAATCAGCCCACAAAAATCAACAGCATCCCTGTACACTAGTAATGAACCCACTATGACAGAAATTAGGGAAAAAAAAATCTTTTACAATAACACCAAGTAAAGGAAATATTTAGGAGTGAGCCCAACCAGGGTGGTGAGAGACCTCTACAATGAAAAATGCGGCATGCTGAAAAAGGAGGTCAAGGATGACATCGGAAAGCGAAAGAGTATTCCATTCCTGGGTAGGCAGAACCAGTCGTGTAAAAATGACCATATTTCCAAAATTTATACACACATTGTGTTACTTTTTCTCTCTTTTGTCTCTTGCTGAGAAAATGCCTGGCACCCAGAATTAAGGAAGGAAGGGTTCATGTAGCTCACGGTGTGCGGAGGTTTCTGCCCACCATCAGCTGGCTCCAAGGCAGGAGGACATAGCAGTGGGCGCCAGTTCCCGGCAGAGGGGGACGGCAGAAGCACAAGAGCAAGAGGGGGCCGAGCGAGCCGGCCTGGCCTCCTTCCCTCCCGTGCGCACACGGTGTGCAGGCTGCCGCCTCAGCACCGGCCTGCGCTCGCACCATAATCCCGGCACTAAACAACGAACCAATCACAGACTCTAGATTCAGCTTCCTCCAAAAAGCAGTCGCCCCATGGCCACATGAGGCTTTGGGGGGACATCCAGGCACAACCCGTAACACAGATTTAACGCAATTCCAGTCCAAATACCAACAGCATTCTTCACAGAACTGGAGAAAACAATCCTAAAATTTATCTGTAACCAGAAGAGATCTGGAAAAGCAAAAGCAAAAAGCAATCTTAGGTATTAAAAAAAAAAAAAAAGTGAGGGGCACAACAGTCTTGGATTTGAGGTTGTATTATAAGCCTACAGCGACAAAAACAACATGGTACTGCCGCAAAAGCAGACTCCAGCATCCATGGAACAAAACAGAGGTACCATGAACAACCCCGGGGACATTCAATTACTTGATCTTTGACAAGAAGGCTAAAAACAGACACTTGAGCAAAGAAAGCTTCTTTAAGAACCGATGTTGAAAGACTGGGCGAGGTGGCACGCGCCTGTCATCCCACTCTTGGGAGGCTGTAGACAGGCGGATCACTATGAGTCCGATCAAGTAGTGAGACCCTGAACACCCTGTAGACCCTTCCCTAGAATACAAAATAAAAAAAAAAAAAAAAAGAGAGAGAGAGAGAGAACGAAAAAGAAACAGTGTTGGAAAACCTGCCTATGCACATGCAGAAAAATGAATCTAGATCCGTATCTCTCCCTGGCTGCTAAGCTGAAATAAAAAAGGATAAAATAACTAAATTTTAAAACAGAAATATTTAACCTGCTGGAAGATAAAACAGGTATACTCTTCAGGTCATAGGTGTAGGCAAGGACTTTCTGAATAGAACTCCAATGGTACAAGAAATAACATCAAGAATCAACAAATGGAATCATCTCAAATTAAAAAGCAAAATAAACAACCAGCCAAGTTGAAAGAAAATCTACAGAATGAGTAAAAGAGTTTGCTAGCTGTTCCTCACACAGAGGACTGATATCTAGAACATATGAAGAACACAACATTTGAGACAGGGAGATCTGAGGCAGGAAAGTCACCATGAGTCCGAGCTGCTCAGCAAGACCCTACATCCAATAAGTACATTTTGAAAAAAGAACACAATAACAGTTGATTCTCCCAAGCGAAAAACCCTATTGAAAATCGATCGAGTGAAATGAAGACACTTCTCAGAAGTACAAATGACCAGTAACACAGGAAGAAATGCTCAGCATCGCTGGTCATGGGACAATGCAAACTTACACAACACTGAGATTTCATCTTTTTATTTATTTATGTGTGTGTGTGTGTGTGTGTGTGGCCAGCTCAGCCCACCAGGGGGCGGGGCTGGCTGGCATGTGGTGCTGGGGGATTGAACCTCGGTCCCTGTGCTTTGCTAAGCTTCCTGTAAGTAGGTGCTTTAGACCACTGAGCTATCTTACCAGCCCCTGAGATTTCATCTTAACCCATAAAGAATGACCTTGTCTAGAAATCAGATGATGACAAGTGCCGGAGGGAGGGAACGATGGCTTCCATATTGCCAGCGGGAATGTAAGCTAGTATGACCACTACGGAAATCGGTGTAGAAACCGCAAGACAATCAAACTGGAAATTCCATGTGACCCAGCTAGCCTCCTTCCGTGTCTCTTCCCCAAAGTGTTGAAGGCATTCTATTACAGTGATCCGTGCGCGCCCGTGTTGACAGTGGCATAATTCCTGATAGCTCCGTCTTAGCAGCGGCCTATGCGTAGTCATAGCTGGGCATCAGGGTACTGTACTGCCTGGAAGCCTCGCACTTGAGAATCTCAAAGAAAGAAAATGTATTTACACACGACATAGTACTACTCTGTCATAAAGAAAGGTAAACCTGAGGTATCTATAGGAGGATGGATGAACCCGGAGACCATCATGCTGATCGGATGCACAAGCTTACAAACCACATGGCTTCTCTTATATGAAAACCTCCCTCCCCCCCAGATACAGACCAAAGGGAAAGATAGATAATAGGAAGTAGGAGGCTACAGCTCAGGGGCCTAAGTGCCTGCCTGGCAAGCGCAAGGACCCAAGTTTGATCCCCAGTACCCCCCCCAAATAATAAGAAATAAATGGATAATAGGGATTAGAGAGGCAGATCTTTCTCAAAGGGTGAGAGGTCAAGAGCTGGAGAGAAGGGGGAGGAGGTGGGAAAGGGCACAAATAAAGAATTAAAATGTGTCGTGTACACAAACCAGCTCCACACAAGACATGGAAACATTACGTGCTGCAAACATGTACTAATAAAAATTATGATTAAAAAAGTAGAATAAGGGGCTGGGAGATGGCTCAGTAGAATAAGCGCTTCCCTGGCAAGCACAAGGATCTGAGTTCAATCCCTGGTTCCACCAAAAACAAACAAACAAACAAACAAAAAAAAAGTAGAATAAAGAGATCTGTAGATGTAGAATTTGTTGTTTGTTTGCATGCTTTGAAACGAAGTCCCAGTGGTCCTGAACTTGTGATCCTCCTGCCCTGGCCCCCTGAGTGCTGGCCTCACAGGGGGGCCACCAAGTGGAGGCTGTAACCTGGAAAGGTTACGGTTAGCCTGGGATGGGTCTCTGGTGGAGTGCGACATGGCCGTCTCTTCCATCTTTTCTTACTGATTTTCTTTTTTTTTTTCCTCCAAGGCTGAGTCTCACTATGTAGTTCAGACTGGCTTGAACTATGGAGCCCTGGCTGATTTTGAATTCACAGCGCTACTCCTGCCCCAGCCTCTTGCGCGCTGGGATTGCAGGAATGTGCCACTACATCTGGCAGACATATTTTTGTTTATGACTTGGGCAAGGACTCTGACCGCTTTCTTATTTAATTTATAAGTGAGACAAAATCGAGAAAAAATTGGAGGCTAAGGTGTGGTGTGGCGGTGCTTGGATGTAATCCCAGCACTCAGGAGGCTGAGGCAGGAGAATAGCTGTGAGTTGGAGTCTAGCATGGGCTAAAAAGCGAGCTTGAGGCCAGCCTGAATCGCATACCAAGACCGTGGAGGATAGAGTCAGCTATCAAAAAAGATCAATAAAGTTCTCTGCTTCCTGTCTACACTATCACAGCAGCTCTCCCCCACCAGGCCTGTCTTGCATGCTCTCTGCAGGGAACCAGCTGATTATGAACTGAAACCTGAGCCAAGATAAATCTGTCCTTCAGGTATTTTGTCCCAGAAATGAGGGAAGTAGCTAAGACAGACTGTGGTACAGAGGAGTGGGCTTGTCGCTATGACACCGTTTGACCACCGGCTTCAGAAGCCGCTGTAACTGGCTCATGGAAAGGGTTTGGAAGAGATTTAAAGATGCCATCTACAGAAGGCCTGAAATGCTGTGAGCCCAGCGTGATGAGAGGTTCTAGTCGGAGCTCAGCAGAGCGGAACAGAAATGAAATAGTAGAAAGCAAGCTTAGGAGGATTCAACTGGGAACAATGACTCCATTAGCAGTTGGACTTGAGACCATGTGTATGATACTCTGGCAGGAAATTTGTCCATGTGTAGCTTATGTCCTGAGATTTTGCAGGTGACCAAGATTAAGGGGAACAGACTAATCTGGTAAAGGAAATTTCAAAACAGCCCAACATTCAGGCAGTGACATGAATACCGTTGGGGGCTTTTAGCCAGCTCTGCACTTATTTTTTTTTTAAATGTTTTTAGTACAGGGTCTATAGAGTCTTAGTACACAGATTGAACCCATAGTGACCCTCCTGTTTTCAGCCTCCCAAGAGCTGGGATTACAGGTGCCCACCACTATGCCAAGTCTCAATTGCTCCCTGGGGGTGGGGTTGGCACAGCATGCCAGTGATCGAACCCCGGTCCCTGTGTCTGTCTAAGCAGGTGCTTTAATCTGCTGAGCTATCTGGCCAGCCCTGTTTTTAGTTTTTTTATATAGAGCCTGGCTATGTAGCCCAGGTCAGTCTCAAACTTGCAGCAATCCTCTTGGCTTGGCCTTCCAAGTGCTGGAATTACAGGCATGTACCACCATACCTGGCTTAGCCAGCTCTACACTACATTGAGAATCAAGAGCAAATGATACATCTGGTGATTTTTGTAAGTTTTCTTCTTTTTTTTTTTTGGCGGAACCAGGGATTGAACTCAAGCCCTTGCACTTGCCAAAGAAGCGCTTATTCCACTGAGCCATCTCCCCGGCCCCTGTAAGTTTTCAATTTTGCAAAACAACAACAAAAAAGCCATGATGTTGGAGCAGAAGAGAGTGTGGTTGCTGAAAAGAGTACCATTAAAAAGAAGCCAAGGGGCTGGGGAGATAGTTCAGCTGCATAAGCACCTGCCTGGCAAGTGCAAGGTCCTTAGTTTGATCCCCGAAAAAGCCGAATACTTTGGATCAGGGCATGAGAAAAAGTGGTTTGAGGGCATGTCAGGAATCTGCAAGGTCCCTCCCTTCCCAGGCTCAAGGGTGCAAGGCTGTAAAGTTGTCATTGGTGAGGGAACCCTGGGGCTGCATTCCAGTAGGAAGTTGGTTCCCCGGGATTCTGTTTACAATGCTCAGCTATTCAGCTACTCAGAGGCCTCTGCAGCCATGATACAAAAGGGGGCTGCCTACTGCTGGAAGCAGGTCTTGGCATTGAATGCCACATGGTGCTGGTTTTATAGTCCTGAAGAACGCAAGAGTTGGGGGGTTGGAAGGTGTCTACCTAGATTTTAGAGGAAGGCCTAGAAGGCCAACCAGTGTGCCATGAAAAGGCAGTGTGAAGCTGTGAGGTGAAACAGCTGAGAAGTGAAGAAGCTGGAGGAGCCACCAGAGCCCTCTGGAAACCCCATCTTACCACACTTGCCCTGAGAGCTACACATGCAGCTACAGCATGCAGCATTTGCCCTGCTGAATTTCAGTCTCACTTTGGTACTGTTGTCCCTGTTCCTCCTTTTTTGAAATGGGAATGTTTACCCTGTGCCCTCCTATATATGGGTCATATTTAACTTTCTTTTCTTTTTTTTTGGCGGAACCAGGGATTGAACTCAGGCCCTTGCGCTTGCCAAGGAAGCACTTATTCCATTGAGCCATCTCTCCTGCCCCTTAACTTTCTTTTCTTTCTTTCTTTCTTTTTTTCTTTTTCTTTTTTATTTTTTTTTCGGAACTGGGGATTGAACTCAGGCCCTTGCACTGGCCAGCAAGCGCTTATTCTACTGAACCATCTCCCCGGCCCCTTAACTTCCTTTTCAATTTGTCAGGGGCTCACTGCTAAGAGTGTACCTTAAGTCATGAAGAGACTTGGGACTTGGACTCCTCCACAATGCTGGAACCATGTTAGGACTTTGGCAGCTCTTAGAGATGGAGTAAATGCACTTTTTTATGAAGAGACGGGGACCCTTTTGAGGCCAGGGTGGAATGTTAGAGCTCATATCTAGATGTCCCTCAAAAGCCTCAGACATCCACAGGTAGGCTTTCAGGAGGTGATGGGACCCTGGGGGGATAATAGTGGTGTTTATGCGCAAATATGGTGTTAGAAGATGGGGTCTGATAGGACATGGGCCTCTGGAGCATGGCCTGGAAGGGTCTTTCTCTGGTTCCTTCTTCCTCTACACTCTCGGCTTTCTCTCCACCATGCCATGAGTAGCTCTCTTCCACCTGGCCCTCTGACAGGCCCTCCTCCTGCCTTGGCGCCAGCCAACTATGGATTAAAATAAGAGCTGAAGTGAACCTCTCCTTCCTTAAGTACTGGGCATTTTGCCTCAGCAGCAAGGGAAGTAACTAAGACCCTCACCACTTTGGGATGTTGTTCCTTTGTACAGTTACTTTTGAGAACCACAAATGAGAAAGGTAGTACAGAACAACTGGGCTGGTCCTGAGTCACCAGAAAGCTGTCCTGAGCCCTGTATTTTCAATAGGAATTTATTGCCCAAACTTTAGCACACATAAATGAATTATCAAAAGAATCCAAAGTACCGCCGGTCCAGTTCCTTTCTTCATGGTTTTATTAATGCAGCGATGTTGCCTTCTGAAATCTTGAGTAGATTAAGTCGCCTCTAGTATACATTGTGGAGTCCCAGCCCAGGCGCAGAGTGGGCCGGACCCTCTCCCAGCCCCTTGGGCCGTCCCCCACCACTCCGCAGTGCCTCCCCCACCCCGCCCACCAAATAGGATTTTCTGCCGAGTTCCGGGAGCCCCCAGACCCAGTCCTAGCCCAGGTCCGGTGAGTGTGCGGAGAGCTTCCTGCTACCCTGCACCGGCGGGACCAGTCCCAGCCCAGGCGCAGAGTGGGCCGGACCCTCTCCCAGCCCCT